TTCACTTCAACTTCTTCACTTCTACTCTTTTCACTTCACGTACTTACTTCCTTCACTTAACTACTTAACTTCTCCACTTCACTTACTCACTACATTCCTTCACTTCACTTCTTACACTTCACCTTCTTCACTTCACTTCTTCACTTCATATCTATTCCTTCACCTTTCACTTCTCCACTTCACTTTCAACTTCGAACTTCACTTCTCCTCACTTTCACATTTTCACTCACTTCTCTCACTTCAGCTTCTTCACTCCTTCACTTCTTCACTCATCACTTCTTTCTACTTCACTTCTTCAACTTCACCCTTACTGTCACTTCACTTCTTCCACTTCACTTTTCACTTTCACTTCTTCCACTTCAACTTATTCATTTTACTAGTCTTCTTCAAAAGGTCAAAGTTTTTGCAGCAAGGTATTCCATTCTTTATCTGTTCCGTGTTTTAACAAAAAAATTTTCCCACGTCTGTTCTCTGCGGTCTTAAAGTTATTTTTGTGCCTGTTGATCCCCCCTACTGATGTATGTAGGAATACTTAGCCGTCGATTAATTTCTTTCCAAGCTGGATGACCGCTGTAAGCTTTATACAAAGTGAAAAGCCTTGCTACTGATCGCCTATTTTTGAGAGAATCCCATTTTGCCAATTTCTTGTCCCTGAAAGTAAATTTAGCTGCCCTACGCTGAATTCTAAATTTTTACACTGAATAATTTTGTGCGGATCTCAACAAATTGTTCCATATTTCATTATCGGACGAAGAAGCGATAAATAAGCAATTTTTTTTCCGTTTGCCATGCTCTTTTTGAAGGTGCGAATTACAAAGTGGAGCGATTTCTAGGCTTTCCCTACAATAAAATCTACGTGACTTTTCCAGCTTAATTTACTATCAAAATAGATTCCTAGGTTCTTGCATGAGGAAACTATCGGAATAATGTCTTTATTTAAACTGTAATTTGTTTCTCTGTAATTATGCCCCCTGCCAAAAGTGATGAATTTGCTTTTGGAGTTATTTATGGTCATTCCATTATTTTCCGCCCAGTAATACAATGCATCAGATACCATTGCAATATTTCATCTTCTTTCGAATTTATACTACAATATATTATGCAATCGTCTGCAAATAGCCGAACATTTGATGTTAATTTCGCTGGTAGATCATTGGCGAACGCTAGAAATACAGGAGGTCCAATGACACTCCCTTGCCGTATTCCTGACGTAACGGTTGCCCCGGAAGGTAACTCTTGCCCAATTCAGACTTTCTGTTTTCTGTCTCGCAGAAACTCGCTAATCCACGCCACCGCCCTGAAATCTAAGCCTGAATTCATTAATTTCTGTACGAGCCGATCGTTGGAAACGACATCAAACGCTTTGTCAGAATCTATAACTATTGCGTCTACTCTCCTGCCCGCGTCAATTACATCTGCTAGATCCTGAAATAGCATGGCTATCTGACTTTTACATGAATAACCACTCCTGAAGCCGTGCAGGCCATCATAGAGCCATTTTTTGATTTCCCATTCTTGCTTAATGTATCTGGCAACTAGATACTCCATACGTTTGCAGACCACTGACGTAAGACTTGCCAGCCCGTAATTACTTAATATAGTTTTGTCACCACTTTTAAAAATTGGTGCGACAAAACTAATTTCCAATATTCATGTTCTTCAGAATTGTTCATGGATACGTGAAATATTCTAATTAGATACGGTAAAATTGCTTCTCTTCGTAGTTTTATTATGTCCGTAGAAATGTCATCTGGACCCCTTGACTTACCATTTTTCATAGATATTACTTTATTCCGTAGAACGTTCTTTTCAATATTAAACTGATTTGTAACCAAAGATCCCTGAATTAATGAATGGTTTGTATTGCTTTTGAAAACCGAACTGAAATACTTATTAAACGCATTAGATTTTGCCCGATCGTTAGTAATGAGCGTGTTTCTCTTCTCACGAACAACTGGGATATCCTTTTTATTTCCTTTCCTTCTACGAACATATTTATAAAATCCTGTCCAGTTATTTCCCTTCCCATCTAAAATATTCTTTAAATATGCTTCCTGAGCAAATTTCCTTTTCTCGCTCCAATTCATTTCAACGATTTCGAAAAATATCTAGATGTTCGCTACTGCATTTTCTGTTATTGAATGCCTTTCTCGTTACCCTCTTCATTCTCCTATATTTTTTTGCGTTGTAGTATTCTGGGTCCGGATTTTCTTTTTTTTACGTTTGCAGGGAACAAACCTTTGCAAAGCTTCGTGTATAATATCTTTGAACGCGCCCCATATTTCTTCCATTCCTTCCTCGGTTCTCAGAAAGCGATTGTATTGTTCCCTAAAAAACTTGAAGCCCGTCTACATTTACTTTCTTGTATTGCCGTACTTTTGTTCCTATCGTGATACCTTTCCTTGAAATATTTTCGTCTAAGTCAAGCAGAACCGGTTTGTGGTCGCTAATGCCCTCAACAGCTTCACAAGATATGAAAAGGTCTTTTGGCCTAATTAAGTAGACATACAAAATCGCATCCTGCCGCGTCCCGCTCCGAACTACCTGAGTTAATCCCCTGTCCCAAAGGAGACCGTTCACAAGTATTTGGACTTTCCCCTCGCTCACGATTTCCTCCCAATTTGTGCTAGGGATATTGAAGTCACCTCCAATAACAATGGGATGACGATTCTCGTTTCCTGTTTTCTGAATGATGTCATCTCAAATGTCGAAACCGTCGCTCGGAGGCCTATAGCATGCAATGATTTCTAATATGGATTTTTCCTTCCTGTTTTTCGATCTCCAACTGATCCAATTTGAATTGCGCCGGGATGGGCACGAGCGTTATCCATAACTGCTCTTCCCTCAAAAGCAGAGAAGTAGCATTTATGATTTAACTGATAGTAAATATCTTCGTTATTATGTCGTCTGAAAATGCGTTTCTGAAAATTCTGTAACATCGATTGGTTCAAGAGATGTTTGGTAGATAATACACATTGAAAACTGAGAGGATGTGAACTCTCGATCTCACCGCGCCTTAAGTGTCAATGTTCCCAGACCCACACCCGTGTGTTGTTATTCTTCTTGGTTCGTTGCTGGCGAGCGCTATCTGGAGGTGAAATCGAACACCGCTACTGCTTCAGTGAAAGTTCCGTTCCAGATTACTCGGCGAGAGAATATATCCACGTGTGGGCTCGTTGGTCTAGGGGTATGATTCTCGCTTAGGGTGCGAGAGGTCCCGGGTTCAAATCCCGGACGAGCCCTGAATTTTGGAGGTGCAAATTAGTGATACTTACTTTCCAGGAAGTTTATCACTCGATGGAAAAAGGTATTTTTCCTCCGCTTATCAAGAAGACAAAAAACACTTATCTATTCCAGTCACGAAATGTTTGAAGTTCATTATTAAACTTCAGTTTACCAACAATGTAAGCTAACAATAGACTTTCTAAAGCAGTAACTTTTTTTATTCTTTAATTAAATTAAAATGTATTATAATATATGTGGGTTTTCTATTTTTTTGAACTGAATTTTTTTAACCAAAGGACGTAATCTCATATTTGGGGGAGAGTCGAACTTTCGTATAATTGTATATAGTTATAAATATGAGTACACTATGCTAGTGGTGTAGAGCAGCAAAACTACTGCTTTTGAGTGAGTGAAATGTAGGAGCCTGCAACACCAAAAATGTGTAGAAAATGTGTGTATGGAAAATGAATGTAAGGATAATGGAATCATGGAGCAGGAAAATTTGAGTTTTAACCCTAAGATGAATGGAGTCGGGAAACTATATGAATGCATGAGCAGGGCCTGTGAAGCCCTGCGCGTTCCACTCTAGTAAAATACGCATAAAATTGGATTTATTGTTAGTAACTCTATTTCTTATTAATTTCAATACAATCATCTCAACGTTAAACAAATGATTATTTAAATAACTATTAAAAGGACCTTAAATAACTTCTTTAAAATCCGTGCATATGCGTTGACGTAATAGAATCAAATTTAAGAACTTGCCTTAATAACATCTGAGAATATTTCATTTGCCAGAGACTAAATTAAAAATAGAAAAAATAATACCAGAATGACAAGACGACTTTCATAAATGGATCTGAGCAGAGTAAAAAGCGAAATACGAAACATTAGGACCTTAGAGCCCTGCATTGGTATCCCAGGGCATCCAAACGGCGCAAGTGAATACGAAAGATTCTTCCTTTCTTGTCGCATGCCGTTAGCACTTCCGTAAGCAGAGACTCAGTATGTGAATTCAGTTGGTACTCATATTGTGCAAACAGGAGAAATATTCGAATCAAATATTTGCATTTTTTTAGTCAAATATCGAAACTGTTTCGTTGGTTTTGAATTTTTCCAGTGTGTCTGGATTCCAATGGAAACCCCAGATACCTCTCATGTGGCCGGAGGCTGCATAACTTTGTTTCAATTTCTGCGAGCATTCGAAATTAGTAAAATATTATGGAAATTTCAAAAAAAAACAAGTATAAATATGATACACATGTTTCATTTTTTTTACTTTTATGAAACGTAAAATAGAGAGAATTAATGCTCTGTTTTCTCTCTGAATTCTCTTGATTTATGATTCTCTGATTTTTGTAATAAACCTATAATTACATGAAAAGTAAAATGATTTCTTTAAAATCTCCTTGGAAATTTACAAAAACCATGATAATGAGAAACTACAACATGCGTCTCTTCTGTACATCAGGATTAATACTTATACGAAGCTGTATTCTCATTCTCCTTCATTTATAATAATTGTGAAACTTCATCTTTTTATTTGAGGAAGAAAATCTTGATTCATTTCTACGCGTCTGATTCAGTGTATCCAATCAAAGCATGGTGTTGCTCCGAAGTGACTATATGCGCCGGGCAGTCGTCTCTTCAGCACCACTCCAAACAGCCGGAGGGGGGGGAGCCAATGGTGTGGGCGTCCGTGATTTCCGAATCTGATAAGGCACTGGGGCTGGGATTCGCAAATAAACAATAAGTTTACAGTACGTGTTCAAAGAATGCCTTCGAAGGAAATATTCGGAATTATTTGCACACGAACAATTTCTCAAGATAAATACAGTAATATAGTAATTCAGTTGCAGAAGATACATCGGTTACGAGAAAATCTGCCCCAGTTAGTTCACCACTAGTTGGATATGTAAAAAATCTAATATTGAGATGCGGAAAATATAAAAAACGATGACGAATCCCAGTCGGCTCAGAAGAGAACGGCCTCCCTTCTGCTTGCGTTCCTCCGTGTGCGCCCTGCAGCCGCCCAGAGCAGGCGGCGAGACCTCGGACTGGTCGCAGCGGGAGCGGCGCCGGCGTGAGGAGGAAGGGGGCATATTTGCCAAATTTCTCTTAACGACGCTCCTCTTTTCGATTTGGACGATTGATAAGGCGTTGGATTCAGGAAACGAATCACCATCGCGCCCTAAGCTCTCATCTTTTTTTACTTTCTCATATACCGGGAGAGATGGCTCAGGGCATCAACTGATGTCACTGCAGTCCCTCTGACTGGAAGGTCTTAAAGGCACGATTTTCGAAACTAGGTTGTCAGTTAGTTCGAATTCCGTTTGGAAGAGAATTCTAGAGGACGGATGCTCTGATCGGCAGTTTTCCGTGGTTTCTCCGGTCAGCAATGCCGGAGCAGCACCCTAACGAACAGTTCACGGACAGCGCGCGATCTTTCCTACTTTCTTCCTTGCCCCATCCTCACCCCTTACACACACAGTAGCATGTACTACACTACCACACGTGCCGGGAGACCGGTCGGGAGCTTAGAACTTGTTTCGGCAAGGGTGGTGCCCCGATGGCGAGAGATAACGTGTTGGGGAAAATCCCTCTAGCCAACTTTAGGTTGTAGCCGAATCTCACCGGACAGCGGGGGGAGACCCCTTTCCCGAACGAAACATATGCTACACTTACGGAACTAATGACCCTAATTGTTGACGTGCCCGGAAACACTAATATAATCGATCAATCAATTAATCAATCGGAATGTACGTAATAATGTGAATAAAATTATTATTCATTAAAATAGCAATACTTTTTTTTGTTTTCCAGCATTTTAAAAGAAACATTTCTGTTGCAAGAAATCGTTCATAATCGGGCATTTTACGGCATAAATGATGACGTATTAGATTTTATGTCACGAACGATTGCGTCATCACACATTTAGCCAATCGTAGCGAGAGAATAAGAAATAAGACTGTCACCCGATTGGAGACCAACTATCCCGACTTTTGCCAGAGTAGTGATGATGACGGCAAAGCTGTCGAAAGCCGACTTTCTAAATAAATATATAAAGTTGATGGACATAACGTCTTTCATTTCTTCATCTTACAATCTTGAGTCTTCTAGATTTTTACGACTGCTCCGATTATGATTTTAACGCTAGTAATGCATGCAGAAGGGTTCTCAAACAACATAAAATACAAATATAAATATGTTTACATGTTTTTTAATGTATTATAACAACTGTCTGTACAAAATGTGGCATTATCATATATGCCGTAATTGAATACAAAATATACTAAAACATTGTTATTACTTCAAATAAGAAAATTCTTTGGTAAAGATATGTAATACAGTTGAAGTAAGTTTTCCGTGTCCCATCTTGAGATGGATGATTTTAAGCAAGTGAGAAATCCGATGTCATCCTTAAGTAGTAATTAAGCCATCATATCAGACCTGCAATAAAGCATAAGAATGTTTATAAGATACACAAAATTTGTATTATAAATTCATGAACACAATGTAGCACAAGTATGTTTCTCGTTCAAATACAAAATTTGCAATAAAGTATTTTTAATTTTATTTTGAAATGTATTTTGATGCAACTATGGACAATGTGTGTCGGGTTTTGTAGTTATTTCCGAACCTTAGGAATTCTATTATTATTATTATTATTATTATTATTATTATTATTATTATTATTATTATTATTATTATTAAATATATTTTTCTATGTTGAGTTCTTAAAGTTTTGAAGGTGTCGTATATTAGTTCAACTTGGCAACAATGTATCTGTAATATGTGTGGCAATAACTTTGAGTGAGGTGGTTTGACAACCTCTTATCTTACGATACGAATAGGAGGCGGTCACGACGGGTATCACATGATACGGACGCAATAGAAGGTGATGAGGTAGAGATAAAAAAGTGATAGTACAAACGTAGTAATAATTTCTGAAAACTGAGAACCATATAATCTTAAGTTTGAAAATATGATGTCGCAACCGGACGTTTTGGAACTCTAAAACGAGCCAATTATCTTATCTTTTTATATCTTTGCCTCTCCATATGTCATCTTTAAAGCAGTAGAAAGCAATCATGCTTTACGAGAGATAAAAAAAATTCAGAGTAAATAAAAAATATTTTGTTAGACACTAGTTGGATGAGTCACTAAAATGTAGATGTATATGTTCAACAAAACAAAATGATGCAGCTAGACTTATACAGCTGTAATATATACACCTAGCTATTAGAATCTAATTATTTCAGCGACGTTTCCAACTGCATATATATAATTATATTTCATGAAAATCAATTTTTTTCACTGTGCAATGTGTATATAATTGCTATGCAGTGTGTATAATTGCAAATAAGTGAATATACTTGAACGCGTGGTATTGATAGCCTTATTTACGATAGTAACAAAACTGGATTAATTAAAGACACTTTTTTATTTGAGATAAGGATATACTGTTATAAATAACCCAGCAATGTACTTATTACATACGGAATATTAACAGTTGTGCATGAAAATGTGGACCAAATAAAATCTAATTTAAAAGACAATCATCCAAACCGCTTGGACTTCTCTGGTCGATAATGCAACATTACAACCTTTAGAGCGATAATATACTATTCTTTTTGAGTAAATAAAACATTTATGAACTGTGGGAAGATTGAATGTAATATTCAAGAAAAATGAATGTAATATTGAAGGTAATGTAAAAAACAGTAGTAACATTAAGCATTCATAGTTAATAACAGCAGATTTTATACCAAGGTTAAATAAAACGAAATAATAATTAATAACAATCTTATTTTAATAAAGTACGGAGCAGACACTTTGTCTTCGTTAAAACATTAAATAAACTGAAACACTGAGAATTGGTTGTCGTTCACATGTTAACGTAGCCTCTACATAACTACTATAGAAAACAAATCTGTACCCACCTTCTTGCATTAGTGATGATGGTGATGGTGCGGGGGCCCGTGATGATGCGGGGGGCCGTGATGATGCGGGGGGCCGTGATGGTGCGGGGGCCCGTGATGGTGCGGGGGCCCGTGATGTGGAGGTGGGCAGTGCACTGGCGGCCGCGGGCAGATCATGATCGGTGGCGGCGGCGGCGGGTGACAGTGGTGCGGCGGTGGGTGATGGTGGTGCGGTGGGGGCGGGGGCCCGTGGTGATGGTGGTGGTGATGAGGGCCTGGCATCTTGTCCACACACAGACTTCGGCTGAAACAAACACCACACCGACGCTCGCTTGATTGTGATCTTTTGGACCTGTAATAGAGCTCCCTTAACAATATTTTTGAATCAAAATAGTTTAATTCAGTATTTCATTTGGTTTATGTTCTTTAGATTTTTCTGTCCAGATTTATTTCAGACAGTCATATACCTATTAAAAAATAAAAACAAATTAATCAAAAACAAAATAGATCTGGGTAAAATGAATCTGGACAAAAAATCTAAAGAACATAAATCTTAATGACAGTCTGAAGATAGTGGAATTTCATTTGATTTATTTATAGTTTATACTCAACAGTTTTCAGTACTTTCCTGAATAATAATAATAATAATAATAATAATAATAATAATAATATGCAAATAAAGTGTATAAAAAGTAATGTGAATTACATAAAATTACAATGCTACGCAATAAAACTATTGTAAAACTAACAAAGGAAAAAAATGAATTTATTCACCTTAGTACTTTTCTTAGCCAGTTTTAATTATCGCAGGCATTGAGCTCGAAGTAAAATTAATATTAAGGCATTTGCATATTCAGACTAGAATTTTAGTATTCAGTAAGTTGCACTGACAGAAATATTGTTTTATGGCAAACATTATTCCGTTGATTCACAAAACGAACTGAATAAATCAGTACCAAACTTCACCAATGGTAGGATCAAAGCATTTTTACGCTAATTTCTTGTATCTCAACTCCTTTTTTTATACTGATCACAATTTAACAAAATGTAAAATTCAAATAATAGACCCTACTTCTCAAAAGACTGCAATACCATTCCATTTTCAAATTGTGGTTCCTGAGAAAACGGAAGCCGAAATCATCACGCGAATGCGAAAGAATATCTCTTACCTTGGGTACTCTGGTTAGTTGCAGCTGTGGAGTGGACCGGCTCTGCTACGGCTGCTTCGGGTGGACCACAGTGAATCTGCTGGGATCGGCTGTGGCGCTGCTTTTTAAAGGGCGTTCGGCGCGGGTTTGCCCCCACCACCGCGCCCGTCCGCCCCCGCCTGCCCCCACCGCGCAGCGCGTGACGCCACCTCGTGAGCCGGTGAGTCACGGACGCTCGATAATAATTCCCAGAAGGCCGCTCGTGCACACTCGTGCACCTTGTCGCATCGCAGGGTTTGTACCGAAAAACGCGCTTTGTCACAGTTGTTGTTTAGAGACACCGGAAATCGTATACGAAGTTTCCCAGGATTTTTGAGTTTCGCTTGATTGCACGAACCCAAGAATATGTTTCAACTGTGTGACGTGTATATTGGTAGGCCATAGATACGCGCCTTGCAGGCGATAGTGGGATTGATTTCACGTGAATTAAGAGGAAAAATAATGATATCTCTACGTCAATAGCACTGGAAATGTGAATACACGTATTTTATCTACAATTTTGCAAGTGCTAATTTACCGTTCTCTATTCATGTACTTTGATTCCTCAGGGTTGTTGGCCCTGGGCCTATGGGAGATGAAATGATGATGATAAATAGGGGTGAAATGACGAAACACCCATACAGACGTACACAAATACACCCATGCCCGGGCCCGGGACTCGAACCCGCGATTTTGTGGTCCGAAACCACAGCAGCCCTACTGCCTTAGCGATATCGATCATCTGATCGGCATTATTGTTATTATTATATTATTATTGTCATTATTATTGTCATTATTATTATTATTATTATTATTATTATTATTATTATTATTATTATTATTATTATTATTATACACTTTCAGCCATTTCTGACCACGGTACACGTTATCTTCCGAGGCATAGTCATATTTTATCCCATAGAGATTAACGTGTGTCATTATTGGGATCAGCGTTTTCGCTGTATGCCTTGGTAAAGAGAAGGTTGTTAAGCCTTGAACTCTGAATTATGGGGTGACAGGTATTCGCAGCACTCACATCTTCAGCCACCTCGGCGCAGGCGACGGGTGTCGCAACCGCCTGATCGCAATTTCCAAACCCCTGAATTTAAGAAGTCTCTCTGCCACCTTCGTTACGTTTTGACCCCTTTGATTCAGCCACAAAGACAAGGAGACAGGTTGTTTTGTCTCCAAATCCCGGATAACAATATCCGGTTTGATTGCGGCTATCGTGCGATCAGTTGGAATTTGTTGGCCCTCCAGTATTGTACGTAATGCAACTAACGTCACTGATTTTGATGAGCGTTCGTACCATTTGGAGCATGTATTTGGAACTTCGAGGGCGTGACAGTTCAGTCAGTGGAGGTGAACTGCAAAGTGTGACATCCTATTGTGTCTTTTCATATATTCTCTCTTTGCTAGAATTAGACTCGCTGAGTCCACAATAAAAGGTTTCAACTTGTTCCCGGCAAACAGCTGTTTCATAATCCCGATCGTGGACTGCTATTAGAACAACTTTCGATTCTGGCTTTCTTTTAGCACCCCCAAGTTTAGTCACTCGATAATCCCAATGCCGCATCACTCACAACTACCGGAACGAGTGATAACATTGTGGACTCCACAGCAGAAGTTAGTTTGTGACAGATCCTGTAATACGACTATAATCTTCGTACTCCAAACAGCTGCTCCATTCACGTCGATAAAATATGTAATTCAACATATTATATTATTTCTCTAATTGTATTTCGTGATTCATTATAGTGTGATAATATAAATGTATTTGGAGATTCAATAAAGTATGATGATATAAATGTGTCAGTTATAAGCATTCCGGATATAACATTTCTGAGCGATTGAGAAAACCATTAACTTAATTTATAATAGCATTTTATACTACATTATAAACCCTGAGAAATTTCTGAGAACATTCTGAGAAAAAATTAAATTGAACAAAAAATACATTTAAAGAATAGGTACTTTGGCGGAAGATAAAATTACGTAAAAACTTAAATAAAACGACGAATTAACACCTCAGGTACTCGTGTTGTCGCTCCGACCCCCCCCCTTGTAAGGTCATAGGGATATTGTAGGATCCAATTTCATTGTTGCTGTTGACATTTCAATACTAAGTTTTTTATTAAAAATTTGGCATTATAATTATCAAATTGTTAAATACGCTATGAGTGATAAGATTAATTGACATGAACGAGATTACGGGAAAAAGGATACCTGTATGTTATTGCTACATCCAGATTTTAGATTAGTTCACCTTCGATTTTTCACGAACGATTTTTGCAGTACATACGCGTTACGCGCAGACGCCACGTACTCGAACACATTAAGCACAGCGCACAGAATGCGCCAAACGGAATCCACGTACTCCTGTTTGCGCGATTATTTTGTCACAACTTTTGGCTGTAGCCCGAACTCTTCTCACAATCGATTATTAAACGACATTCATTTATTTAACGAGTAATTACAGTGCAACTAATTGATGGGGGTTTTGGATACAAAGCTTGAGAATGAGATGCAAATGGGATAAAATTTAGAAATTTATCTAGGAACTTCAAATTTATTGCCAAAACATCAAGTTGTAGTTTAATATTCATTCCTATCCAAAAATTAATTATTTCTCCACGCACAATTTATTAATCGTCTGCGGTGCCCACGTTGGGAGACACGGCTGGTCGAACACGCAGTAGTAATTTGTTGGAAAACGAAGTGATTTGTTCGTTCGAAGTGAAGAAAAGATTTCGAATCGCGTTCTCACAAAGTCAACAACACGGAAAGGTTAAACGAAGAGATAAAATGTCGGCTCCTCTACTGAAAATCACTCGACAATATTAGCAGATTGTCCTCGGTGTGAGTATGTGTTCAAAATTTAACGTAGGTCAGTAAAATACGAACTAAAACTCGGATCTAAAATGCGCACGAGACAGATATAACTTTGCTTTCAATAACAATTGCTTACTTTTTGTCTTGATGGAGAATTCTGTATTTAAGCTTTGCTTTTCCACATAAATTCTCCAAATCAGGTAATTCATGAAGCAATCTCGATTTGTGAGACTGCTCGACGATGCAAAAAAAACTTTAAAGAAGTTTTTAGAGGTTTTTGAATCAAATGATATTATTAAAAACATTTAGTTCGCTTTATTAGGACGGAAACTGCGAAGCTTGAATGCGTGAAGTTCTATTTTTTAACACTTGGTAGCGTCATGACACATTTGCTTGGATTAACTTATACTGGTTTGTCTCCACGCAAAAGCCTCATGTAAATACATAATTACAGCAAGTGAAAATCGAATCTTAAACAGAGTTTGAGTATGTGTTTAAAACTGTTTTTGCTTTTAGGTGAAATGAGGGTGAAAGCTGAAGTGCGAAATGAGACGGGTATTGACTCCTATCGCTTAGTGCGTCACTGTGCACATAGATTGCGCAGTCGTTCATTCCTCGGGTACACCCGGTATAAATAGAATTACATATTCTCACTTCTGTCCAGAAAATAGTTTACTCGGATAAAAGTTTGTTAATATTATATATCTAATAATGGTGCAAAATTTAAACTGTCGGAGATGTTTTTAGAAATTGTCTTAAGCATAGAACCTAATGAGATAGTTTTCGAAAATTGTTTAATGCGGTCAGTAGTGAATTATTTCAATTCTAACAGATTTGATTCATTATTAGAACTAATTCATATGACAAATTCATTAATATTTATATTTGTACATTTATTCTAGAGGTGTATTATAGACCGAGAGAGGTGACTCAGGGTATCCATTGACGTCACTGTAGTGGATATGACTTGGAGGTCCTAGGGTGTCGACTCTCCACGATGGCAGGATTTTCGACACTAGCCAGACAGCTAGGTAGAGTTCTGTCGCTTGCCAGAAGGAGAATTCTATTGGCCAGCCACTATGATCGGTAGTTTTCCGTGTTTTTTCCGATCAATACCAGGCGAAGTCCGGAGCAGTACCCTACCAATTGGACCACGGACCGCGTGCTATCTTTCCTTCCCATTCCTTGCCCTATCCTCACCCATTACACACATTTACTCTTACATGCACTACACCACCACACATGCCGGGAGACCGGTCAAGAGCTTAGACCTTGTCCCGGCTGAATCAGTGCCCCGCTGCTGGGAGATACCTGGTTGAAAAAGGCTCTCTACTCGACGGTAGGTTGGCACCGGGACTGCAACGCAGTGGGTAAACTTTACCACCCGAGCAAAAACATGTACTACGCTTACGGGGCTAATGACCTTGGTAGTCGACGCGCCGGAATCAATCGTATATTGTAGTGTAACTGAATGTAGTATTGTATATTTTGTGGAGTCTATGTTGCAATCCGACCTGTTTTCTTTATAACTTCTACATATTATCCCACCTGTCCGGTTATTTAATCTTTCAAATCAAATAATGAAAAATGTTTTGTATGCGGAAGGTATAAATGTATAAAGCGAATTGACAATCTCGCTTAGTACAGGGACTCGAATAATCTAAAATTAGTGGTGCTACGACAGCATGTATTTTCTCACATTACTAACCGTTACGTAATATACACAATTGGATGTAGATTAGCTGTCCTAAGAAAGTTCCTACTACATTAGGGTCACATACATCAACTACGTTCTCCAATTCTCGATTTCAATATTTATGCACTGCAACAGTTCACCTGTATCGGTTTTCTCAAGCCTTTTCTCACATGTACGACGAAGGCGCCCCGCGTCGACGTCATGTCACACACCACGTGGTCGTCGTTTCTGTAGTCGTTTCTGTAGTCGTTTCTGTAGTCGTTTCTGTAGTCATTACTGTAGTCATTACTGTAGTCGTTGCTGTCGTCGCCGTTGCTGTCGTCGCCGTTGCTGTCGTCGCCGTTGCTGTCGTCGTCGTTGCTGTCGTCGCCGTTGCTGTCGTCGCCGTTGTCGTCGCCGTAACCTCGTCCATTTGTGTCACCGCAGCCACACATCTTACGTTTCGTAATACGGTAATGTTACGTCGACTCAACAAAACTAAACATATGAACGAAAATCCACTTAAAAGTCCGGCGTCCCTTAAAGATTTAAAGTACTGTTGACAGTTATTAACAGTCGAAATAAATGAGTTGTAGCTATAATAACGTATGAATACACGATAAAGAAATTGTACTTATTGATAATGATATTTCTCGTTTCATGGTGTTACGAAAGCACTGAATGACTCATGGCCATTAACACGATAAGACTAATATTGATATTAAACCTACACTTTTGCTTTGGTTGCACAAATTTCCGGCTTTGTTTGATACCAAGGAATATTACTGAACATAAATTTTGCGAATAGTTTGTGCTTGGATAAACATGTAGGTGTTAAATGTGATTTTTTTGTAGTGATTAAAAAGGTGCAACTTAGTAGGTATTATGATTTGTACTAAATTAAAGTTTTGATGTAGAGAAGAAGAAAAATTTGAAAGAGTATTATATTTAAACACACATATTGTTATTTTTATTTGATTTCCGCGCATGTATCGCATGTATGTTGTTTTGTAGCAACATGTGATTATATTTTGTTTTATATTCAAGGAAGGATTTGTTAAGAAAGAGTTCTCGCGGAACCCAATTTATTGGCGATATTAAATGCTATTAACCTTGGGCAAACATGAATTGCTTTTTCTTATCTTTTGAACTGACTCTGTTGAGAATTCTGTACCGGAAGTGCTATAAATATACAGCACGTGTAATATGAAGTGTTTCTGCAACCTTAGTCTTATCTCAAAACATATGGAATTGTGTAGGAATTCGTTTGACGTCTCTTCCATTTCCTTAATTCAGCTTATTTGTGTGGAGGTTTGATGATATCCGGTGATCGAATGAGTGCAAACGTCGCGTGCATCTTGATAAAATATAATAAATCACTCCTCTCAATTACAGTTGGTCATTTATTTCGGTTTTTACCTGTTTCGAAATATAGGTGCGTCACTTCTGCGTTGCAGTAGATAATGTGTGGGGAGCCACTCAAAATATCAGAAATTTTTTTCTCCTAATATCGGAGAATATATTCCAGGAGCAGTGTCGTCACAGGAGGGGAACGAACCGTCCCGGTTACAAACAACCAGGTTCCTTTTTTCAGAAAAATATATTTACATCAACGTTTTAAATTTTAATTATTCACTTTCATTCATTGCTAATTAATTTTATCTTAATGTTATTTCAATAACTACGATGGTATTAATAAGTTTTGATTCCTTTATTGTTAATTTAGAAAATTCAAGATAATTAAAGTAGTTTAAGTATAATAACACCAAATAAACGTCCACACTCTACCCATCATAAGTTCAACTTAAGCTGCCTGTTTAATGATAGAATTACTCTTCGGGATTGATATCAATTCATGTGTAATTCATTCGCTCTGGATGAGTTATATGAACAAAGACAAAAATATTGTTATATTCTTATTCAATTCCAAGAAGAATTTTGCAGTGTCCTACATTATTACATGCTTCTCTCATTGCGCGGAAAACCAAGTTTTGCGAGGTTAGGTATTTTACCCATTACATTTGGACATTCCTATCGGCTTCAAAGGTGGGAGGGAAATTTTCAGACCCAGGTGCACATTTTCCCATATCACCCGCGGTGTGAAAGGGGAAGAGGAGAAGGACGAGTAGAACTAAGTATACTTGGAACGATATACATCCTATAGTAATCGCTAGTGATTTAAATATTCCAGACGCAAATTGGAAAGGCGATGTGAGCGAAACAAAAGTACAACAGTCAGTGAACACACTCGTCTGGGAAGGGGGATTAGCGCAGTTAGTAGATAGACCGACGCGGCAGGGGGCGCTTCTATGCGATGTTTATTTAATTAGGCCGCAAGAGCTTTTCTTGTTTGCGATGTCATTGATGGCATAAGCGACCAGAAAGCGGTGTTAGTCGACTTAAACCAAAATTTTTCACATAAAAGAATTCCTAACGGTTCAAAAATCTGGCAGTTCAAGAAGGCAAACACAAAAGGGCTTCACCACTATCTGAGAGGCCAGTACGATCGTTTTCTGAGAATAGGGGAGTAGAGGGGAGTAGTTTTCTGAGACGGGGCTATGGAGGAGACTTATACCGCGTTTAAGAGCAATCTGGATAATGCATTGCAAATGTTTGTGCCGCACAGATACTTAAAAAGAAATTCAGATCCAGAATATTATAATGCGAAAATTCGACGTATGAAGAGAAAAGCCAGAAAATCTTTGAATAATTGACATAGCAGTGAAAATCATAGAATGCTTTTTCGTAATTCTTCAAAAGAATTAGAGCGGGAAAAGAAAATTGAGCAGGAGTCATTTTTAAAACACATTCTCGACAGTGAGGGAAATAATTGGTCATGGTTTTACAAATATGTTCGCAGAAGAAGAGGAAATAAAAAAGAAATTCCTCTCGTTAGAGATACTAACGGGTTACTAATAGATGAACGTAAAATAGCAAACGCATTTAATGCCTACTTCAGTTCCGTTTTTAAAACAAAATCTCACCCCACTCATATATTGAGGGAGGATGTACCCAATCAATTTAATATAGACGTAAATGCATTGCGAAAGCGAATTAAATCTATGAAATATGGAAAGTCCTGTGGTCCAGATGCCATTTCAACGGAAATAATTAAACTGAGTGGAGAGGCAATATTACCGTATCTAACAGGATTATTTCATGTTTCGATCAACAATTCAAGCGTTCCAAAAGATTGGAAGCTAGCTTCTATTGTTCCGGTTTTTAAGAATGATGACAGAACTGTTTTAGTAAATTATAGACCGATAAGTTTTACGTCAGTTGTATGTAAGCTAATAGAACATTTTATAACTAGCTATATTAGACAAGAATGGGAACAAAAAGAATGGCTATTTCAGGGACAGCATGGAATGGTTTTAGGAATTGTTTCTCTTGCGAGAGTCAGATATATCTTTCAGGATATAGCAGATGAAGTTGATGATAGTGGGAGGGTGGATGCCATAATAATAGATTTTGCGAAGACATTTGATGTTGTCCCACACTATAAACTAGTTCATAAATTAATGCATTCGGGTATTGACACCAGAGTTGTGGCGTGGATTGATGAGTTTCTTTAAGATAGGAAATGAAGTCCGAGTTGGACAACAATTTTCAACCGTGGCAGAGGTTACTTCAGGGATCCCTCAAGGAAGCGGTATTGGACCCCTCCGGTTTCGGGCGTTTGTAAACGACCTGCCAGACAATTTGTTCCAAGGTAAGACTATTTGCTGATGACTGTATAATATATCGAGTTATTCAATCAAAAGTAGACGATAATAGTTTGCAGGATAATCTAGATAGATTACATTTCTGGGCAGAAAAAAATAGCATGCTAATAAATAGTTCAAAAAGC